TAATAATTGGGGTGACCGAATGGCATACTGTAAGGCCAGTAGAGGGAGCCACATGAACGAAATCGTTTTTCATTCTTGACGCGGATACTTTTAGCTTCACAACAAAAAAAAAATTAATAAAAAATATCAATGTATGCTCATTTGATCGCATTTTTAAAAACGTACCAATAGATGGCCCACCCTGTATATATATATATAAAATACCCGTATTCATAGTCCTTTCTTGAGGAATGAGGATTCCTTGTTTCTTATTTTACGTTTCATAAACCTTCCTTTTGATCAAACAAGGAACCTTATTAGCTTCCTTTTCTCAAAGAAGATTACAAAGTTCCTTGAGGAGAAGGTGCAGCCTTCATAACCAATCAAAGTTAGTTCGTCACACCAATCTTTTTATTTTCGATAGCTTTATTTAATTTAGATCTGTCGCATCAATAATTATTTTCGATAGTTTTTTTTTCGGAAATAAACTGCGTCAAAAGTACTTTCTCCTTCTTCGTATAATAAGCATTATGAATCTGATTGGAAACACTGATGCATATTAAAGTCGTTGTACACTGATTTAATTTGAGTATAAACATAAAATGCAAATATTTCGAATTATGAAATACATATTTTATCTATTGTAACATAAGTAAAAAATTACGAATGATAAATATTATAAAGGTATTATTGATTAATTGAAAATAAAAAGTGACGAACTAAATTTGAAGGTTTACTTGGTTATGAAAGCTGCATCTCCTCCTCAAGGAAACTTCCCTTAAAAAAAAAAGAAGGCTCCTTGTTTGATCAAGAAAGGTTTATCATCCATAAAAGGTATTCATAGTCCTTCCTTATTTTAAGGATGGAGGAAGCCTCCATGAAGGATTCTTCAATTCTTCAAGGCCTCCTTATTTCATAAATGGATCTCAAGTCTGCCCCGAAGGAAGGAATATTTTAGGGATTTTAGTAACCTATTGAGGGCAGCATGTCATAATATATAATGTTTGCATACCTAATATCATGAATTACGAATGATAAAGGTTATAAAGGTATTGTTAATTAATAATAAATAAAGTCGTGATTAAACCTTTTGCAATAATAATCGATAAAAATAAAACTAAGCGAATTTGATTGGACGTACTTATTGCGCACTGATACACATTAAAACCGTACATACACAAAATAACATAGATATACGTTTATAAATAACATAGAAATCGGTTAAATTGTGAAATACTCAATACATTTTATTCTACTCTGTTAGATAAAATATATATTTTATAATTCGAAATATTTACATTTTATTTTTATACTCAAATTAAATTAGTGTACAACGGCTTTAATATGCATCAGTGCTTCCAATTGAAAATTGGCCATAATACCATAATGCTTATTATACGAAGAAGAAGAAAATGTTCTTTTAGAGGAGTTCTTTTCCGAAAAAAAGCTATCGAAAGTAAAAAGACCGTGACAAATTAAATTTGGAGATTTGCTTGATTATGAAGGCTACATCTCCTCCTTAAGAAAACTCATAACCTCCATTGAGAAAAAGAAACTAATAAGGGTCCTTGTTTGATCAAGGAAGGTTTATGAAATGAGGAACAAGGAATCCTCACATTCTGTTTAATTGAATTTTACCTCGTGAGATTCTAAAACCAAAACTAAAGAACTAATTGAGGATGAGTGAGGACTGGGTTAACAAGAAACAAGACACAATGATTCGCGGCTATTATACACACTTGCCTAGGCATAAAAACTCCCGCGGAATGGAAGAAAAGCCGGGGCAAGCGGATCTTTATTGATTGGCTGACTGCTAGGTACAAATAAACGTTCTCTAATGGTGCGCGTAGCGAGATACCGCGGTCGTTCGCGGTACATGAAGGTCGCCGCGCGAGGTTCGCGTTACATGAATGTCGCCGCGCGAGGATCCTTTTGATTCGCTAGAGAGCTCTCTTACTTGGTAACGCTGAGATAATTGCTGACGTCAACGTGGGCCGCAAGCCGCTCAGTTTTTGCCGCCTTGGGCGAGGTGCACCTTTACCAATGCCGCAGGGACGCCTCGACGTCTCGAGGGAACCGACACCTGAGCAACGGGGGCACAAAGCCGCCGCGTAGATGCAGCCTCCGGAGATGGCACGCTGAACTCTGTCTCACGTGGCCTATCTCCCACAATACAACTCTACTCTTCGGCAACCACACCGCTCACAAACTCCTTTCTCACGGGAGGCTTCAAGCGCACGACAGACCCGCGCGTGGCAGAGTCACGACAATAACTGACTCGACTACACGAGCCCGATCCTTTGTCCGGGCAGGCTACAGATGCACACCAGACCCGAGCGTGGCAGAGTTCCGACCATACCTGACTCGGCTGCACGAGCCCGATCCTTTGTCCGAGCAGGCCACAGATGCACCACAGATGCGAGCGGTCTCCCGCCTTACGTGTTCTTCCCGCTCGCCCGGTAGTCGACGGACTCGGGCTCGGAATCAATGTTCAATCCGAACAGTCCGCCCGCCTTCGTCCGACGGACGAACTCTCACAACCCAAAGCACAACCCAACCTAATCCAAGAAGGTTTAGGGGCCCTCGTCCAAATGTAACGGACAGAGCCGAGCCACGTGTCGTAGTAGAGAGGTAGTAGCGGTCTTTACCGTGGCCACTCGCACCAGACCGTCAGGCCCAGGATGAACCTCGGTGATTCGACCTAGGGGCCATTTCGACGGTGGGTAACGATCGTCTTGGATCAAAACTAACCTACCGATAGAAAAATTCTCGCTCGGTTGTCGCCATTTTTCACGCTCCTGCAAGTGAAGTACCAAACATGGCTTGGAGTTCCAAATCTGCTCCATGGAAGTTGCTGGCATTATCGCTGTAAAGTCTTCTACAAATGCCACGTCTGCCTACAAAACGCCGAAACGCATTTATGAACGATAGCGTACTCAAGTCGCTGACAAGCTCGAGATGAATTGCTCGTGTACAGAAGCAAACGAAAATAACGATATAACCTTTGTACGACTTGTGACCGCGACCCTTCGTGGTTCGCACCTGGATCGGTCCAGCATAATCAAGACCAGAAATTGTAAACGGACGTCCAGGATTCACCCGATCGGCAGGAAAGTCGCCCATTAACTGCTGTGCCATTCTTGGTTTAACCCGCTGGCACGTAACGCATTTCCTAATCGAGGATTTAACCAGTCTAGCCCTTCCCAATATCCACACATGCTGCATCAAAATGCTAGAGGTTAGTGTAGGTCCTCCGTGAAGACAGAGATGGTGGGCATGGCGAACAAACAACCCACTTAGAGACGACTGTTGCGGCAAAATCGGAGGGTGTTTGCGATCAAACGAGAGATTTGAATGGGATAATCTACCTCCTACCCGTAAAATGCCCTTCTCGCAAATGAACGGATTCAATTTGCAAAGCCGACTACGGTTCGGTAAATTCCTTCCCGCGATTAATGTTTCGAACTCTTCGGTGAAATGGCTTACTTGCGCCAAGCGGATAACGATATCTCGTGCCTCAGACAGTTCACTTGAGGTAAGAAAGGAAGGCAATAAATCGTTGCCTTGCTTGCGTCTGCGTAAACCGAGCAGAGGTCGCCTACACCAAGCTACCACCCGAACCAATCGAGTCAACGAAGAGAACCGAGTCAACAACTCCGATTCAACCAGGCGAGTCCGAGCATGAAGAGTGCGCGAGCTCTTTACCGGCCGCGGCCACTGGCTCTGACATTTACAGAGCCACTGGGGTCCATGCCACCAACGATCATTAGGAGCGAGTTCCGCCGGCGTACAGCCTCGCGTCGCTAAATCTGCCGGATTTTCGTCCGTGGGGACATGTGACCAGGTAGCAGATGGCATCTCCGTCTGGATATATGAAACTCGGTTAGCCACGAAGGTTTTCCAATGGCATGGGTGTTTGCGAAGCCACATAAGCACGATCTGGCTATCAGCCCAACCGAAGACCGGGAGAGTGCTCAGAAAATCCAGTTTTCGTATGTGAATAATGAGTTGGACGAGAAGAGCTGCACCGCATAACTCCAAATTCGGAATACTGATGGTTTTAACCGGTGCCACTTTGGACTTAGCAGCGAGCATCGAGGTGCGGATACACCCATCTCCTTCATCGACACGCAGATAAACGACGGCTGAATACGCACGAGAGGATGCATCAGAGAATCCATGAATCTGATACGAGTACGCGGCAGCGACACCCAGCCAACGATCTATCGCTAGTGAGTGCAATGCGAACAGGGACTGGCAATAGTCATACCATCGCTCACGAATCTCAGGAGGCAAAGGAGAATCCCAATCGCACTTTTGGATCCACAAATCCTGCAATAAAATCTTCGCCTTTACTGTAATCGGAGCGAGCCAACCAAGGGGGTCAAAGAGTCGAGAAATGCTCGAGAGGACCTCTCGCTTTGTTTTGGCTGCTGACAGCTCGCTAAGGTCTCCTGCCTCAAACCTGAACTGATCTTGTGCGGGAATCCACTGTACACCAAGCGTCTTGACCAAAGAGGCCGTTTCGATGAGCTTCGCCGAGCTCTGCTGCGTATGGGCGGGGATTAGATCCGCATGATTTGCAGCCCACTTATCCACACTAATTCCGGCTGAACTCAATAACGAAATAAGTTCGTCCCTTTTCTTAATCGCAGTAGGCAGGTCGCCCGCTCCTGTAAATGTATCATCAACATAAGTCTCCGATTTGAGACATTCCGCGCCTAGTGGGAACCTAGCCCCTTCGTCCCGAACCAATTGCAGAAGCGTGCGAATCGCCAAGTATGGAGCACAGCCCGTCCCGTAGGTGACGGTATTCAGGCGATAATCGACAGGATCGGAATCAGCAGTAGCCGTCCACACGATCCTTTGGAAGTCTCGATCTGCTGGTCTCACGCGAATCTGCCGAAACATTTTGACAATGTCCGCGGTAAACGCGAAGGGATATCGACGCCAATTTAACAAGATCAAGGAAAGATCCCCTTGAAGCGGGGGCCCTGTCAATAAGAATTCGTTCAAGGAGTGACCGTCACCAGTTTTGCGAGAGGCATCGAATACAACACGGAGCTTCCAAGATGAAGCTGACGATTGAACCACTGCATGATGTGGTAAATACCACGAATCTTTACGCTGAACATCGGAAGCCGGAACTCGAGTCATATGTCCTAACCGTTCATATTCCGACATGAACTTTCCGTAAGCTTCAGCTAACTTATGGTCGCGCGAGAGACGACGATGCAGATTCGACAAAGATCCGAGGGCCATTCTCCGAGTCTCAACCGACACTGACGGAAGACCTGCTTTCAAAGGCAGACTAACCTCATATCGACCGTGTGAATCGCGACAATGTGTTTCCCTGAACAAGGCTTCGCACGCCTCATCATCTGGTTTCAATTTTTGTACGCCCGATGGTACCTCCTCAAGCATCCAGAACCGCTGTAGCGACTGATCTAAATCGCAAGATGCACAATGGAGCGCTAGCACCGACGAAGGGGAGGCGAGATTCTCCGCCCGCCGTGACGCGACCGACTGAGTAGAACCAGTAACAATCCACCCAAACGCCGTATTTTGAGCAACAATATTCGAAAGGGGAAACCGTTTCAACCCAGATTTAAGCAATTGCCCGTAGACATCCGCACCTAGGATTACGTCAACCTTACTCGGAATGCAAAATCCAGGATCAGCCAATGAAATGCCGTCGAACAGTTGCCAGTCAAAGTTCCGAATGCCCTCAGCTGGAAGCTGCAAAGTTAGCTTGGGGAGAACGAGCGCATCGGTCTCGAATTCGAATTCTAAATCGACAGCGGATCGCAGTGTAATATGCGCCACTGACCGTGCTGTACCTGCCGTACTTGCACCAAGTCCTGTCAACGCGATGTTGGTGCGTTGTTTCGTCAAACCTAACAACTGTACGATCGCTTCTGATACAAATGACGATTCCGATCCCTGATCTAAGAGGGCTCGAGCAGAAGTGTTGACACCATTCGGACCTATCACCAAAACCCGCGCGGTAGCCAGGAGGACTTGACGCCGAGCCGCTAGGCGATTGGAAGAATGTAGACTCACAACAGGCGTGTTATTAGCCGATCCGCATTGCGAGTCCTTCGGCGCATCGGAATGCTGCCGTGATGCTTGATTGCCGCTCGGCGCTTTCTGGTGGAGAAGTGTATGATGCCTTTGTTGACAGACGGAGCAACGTCCAGAGGAAGGGCAAACGTTAACTCGGTGCTGTCCAAGGCAATTGAAATAGACATTGAAGCGTTTAACGGAAGCAATCCGCTCAGGAGGAAGTTGGTCCCTGATCTTAAAGCACCTTGCGAGAGGATGTGTCCCCGAGCAAAGGGGGCATTTAGAGAGCTTCACCTTCGATGAACGAGACGCACTGGCATGAAATACCTTGCGAGATTGAAGACCTGCAGAGGAAACAGAAACCGGTCTCTTTTCTGCTCTACGCTCGGCTTGTATCATGCCTAGGGCCTGAGTTCTCTTCTCTAAAAAGGTGGCAAGATCCGAAAATTTGGGTAGAGACTTCAAAGGATCCGTGTTCGGCGAACCTTCCCCTGAGGCTAACACCGAATCTTTCCCGCTAAGCTCAGCCTCCCATAATTTTCGAGATTCTGAATCTAAACGCTCCGATAAAACGAACACCAACCATGCGTCCCAATGCTCGACAGGTAGCTTTAGATTACCCAAAGCACGGACAATACGCTGAGCTTCATCAACGAATGAACGCAGCTCAGAAGCCGCTTCCTTTTTCAGGCGGGGAATCTCCATGAGAGACGTCAGGAGTTTTTGGATAATCATACGGGGATTGTAATACCGCGCCTTGAGTGACTTCCAGGTACTAGTATAATTCGCACTAGTAGTAGCGACCTCCTTAATAAGCTCTGCTGCGCTACCCGTCAAGCACGATTTTAAATATTGCAACTTAGTTGCATCCGCTAATCGGGGAACGTCATGAACGAGCGTCGTGAAAAGATCGCAGAAACTCTCCCAATCCTCGTATCTTCCCGAAAAAGTGGGTAAAGGAATGCGAGGGAGTTTCGCGACACTAGGTGTGCCGATATCCGAAACACTCCCCGAATCCGACCCTCCCGATGCTGCACCTTCCGCGGCCAGCTCAAGCTGCGTCACAATCATCAAGCACGCATCGACTGCGTTTTCGTAAACGCTTTGCATGCGCCCGAAACAATCGTTCACCATGTAAGGATCGGACTCGGCCTCATCCCTAATGATAATGTCGGAATGGGTTTCACGTACTTCGTTCCATATCCTCTTCAAAGCCTCGAGTCGCGACTGTACAATATTTTTTGTAATCGTCGGCCGCGGTTTACTAACTAGTCGCTCACGTATTCCGTTTATTTCGCCTTCGCGCGCGCGTTGCAAAGACGTTAGCTTTTTAAGTGCTACCGGAGCCATGATGCTAAAGACCACGAGAGAAGAGAGAAAAAGGGATAAGATTAATCAGTGTGTTTATATATATATAAGAATGCTGTCTTACTTAACCGTAACGCAGCATGCACTATAACGCTTAAGGAATAGCGCGGCGCTACAAACGACGATATTTCCGCAAACCAAGTTATATTACGCTAAACGTCCACGGCCCGGCAAAGAACATCCCGAAAGGGCAACGAACTCTGCAGCGCAACCGAGAATCCCCTTGTATCCAGGGAAAGCACACGCTTACGCAAGTCCGACGGCTGCGACCGTAATGCGCTATAGAATGGCGGACTGCTACGACCAAAGGTCCAAATTCCCCATCAAACCAGTCACTCACTCCTCATCCCGGGCACCATGTTTAATTGAATTTTACCTCGTGAGATTCTAAAACCAAAACTAAAGAACTAATTGAGGATGAGTGAGGACTGGGTTAACAAGAAACAAGACACAATGATTCGCGGCTATTATACACACTTGCCTAGGCATAAAAACTCCCGCGGAATGGAAGAAAAGCCGGGGCAAGCGGATCTTTATTGATTGGCTGACTGCTAGGTACAAATAAACGTTCTCTAATGGTGCGCGTAGCGAGATACCGCGGTCGTTCGCGGTACATGAAGGTCGCCGCGCGAGGTTCCTTTTGATTCGCTAGAGAGCTCTCTTACTTGGTAACGCTGAGATAATTGCTGACGTCAACGTGGGCCGCAAGTCGCTCAGTTTTTGCCGCCTTGGGCGAGGTGCACCTTTACCAATGCCGCAGGGACGCCTCGACGTCTCGAGGGAACCGACACCTGAGCAACGGGGGCACAAAGCCGCCGCGTAGATGCAGCCTCCGGAGATGGCACGCTGAACTCTGTCTCACGTGGCCTATCTCCCACAATACAACTCTACTCTTCGGCAACCACACCGCTCACAAACTCCTTTCTCACGGGAGGCTTCAAGCGCACGACAGACCCGCGCGTGGCAGAGTCACGACAATAACTGACTCGACTACACGAGCCCGATCCTTTGTCCGGGCAGGCTACAGATGCACACCAGACACGAGCGTGGCAGAGTTCCGACCATACCTGACTCGGCTGCACGAGCCCGATCCTTTGTCCGAGCAGGCCACAGATGCACCACAGATGCGAGCGGTCACAGATGCACCACAGAGTCTCCCGCCTTACGTGTTCTTCCCGCTCGCCCGGTAGTCGACGGACTCGGGCTCGGAATCAATGTTCAATCCGAACAGATTCCTCAGCGAAGGATTATGAATACGGGTATTAAAGTTGAGTTAGACTACAAGAATTAACCAACTACAGTCGAGTATTCCTCTATCATTCGACTGTAAGAGGGGAATACTCGACTGTGATTGATCAATTCTTGTACTCTGATCCAACTCTAACCCTCGGTGGAAACTTAGTCTATATAAGATATCTACATAATAAGTTTTAAGCTTTGTGTCCACGATGTTAGAAATCTGAGATCTTGTATGAAGAAAGAATTGATCAATTGCTTGATCATATGATAAAATTGTTCAAATGTATTATAATTTGTTAATTCTTTCTCTGTCCGAAAACTCGAATCGATTTTTAGTATCGTGAATACTGGACCTTACAGATAAATATTATAGATAAAAGACAAAAGTTAAGAACTAAATGTCTAATTCACAGCTCAATAAAATATCCAAAACTCTAACGTCGTTTTCGTTTATCATTTCATATACTGTTTCGCTTGAACATAGTTATGTGAGTTTGAAGCATTCAATATCGAGAATGCAACGAATATGTAAAATTACCTCAACCATCTTAATCAACATTTTGTTACGTAATTTATCTTTGATAATGTTTACGATAGAAAATGTGCGTTCGACTGAAGCATTTGAAAAGGGTAGAGTAAACGATCCGAGAATTAGCTCCGATATATTTTTGAATTTTTTATTTACGCTTGCGTCTGTAAGCTTGTTGACCTCGATCGAATATTTCTCAGTGCAAACAATTTCGGTAACTTCAGCTTTGTGAAGAAAATTTCACTGTCACAATTAAATTAATATTATTGCACAGAGTACGCTTGAACTTGGTCACAATATCCGTGATATCAGTTTTTACCTGTGATGATGCGAATTGCGGCGAAAATGTTGATATTTTATGAAATATTTTCATATTATCAGGAATTCTCTTTTATAATTCCGATATAAGAACAAATAAAAAATCTCTGTAACGTTCTTTGATTTACACAACTGAATCTTTATAAATGTTGGCATAAAATGTTAAATTCGTACCCAAAATTGATGCAAAAGAGTGAAAGATCGCGAGAGACATGCAAAAGCGTTTAAAATTGAATTCTGCAAGATCATAACGCGATATTTTTTTTAGTTGCGGCGGAAGATGACCATTTGGAAAAATGAATATAAACAATCATTCAAATCTTTAAACAATTTAACCGGATCAGTAAAATCAAATTGAAATAATTTGTTTAGCCTCATGATGTTTTGCAGCGTTAAACTAAGGAAATTCAAGTACAATTTATTTTCGGGCGTTGAGAACATAGTATACGAGTATAGTTGAGAAGCTGTATGACAGCGTTTCCTTATTACTTGCTATAATTTTAAAATGCATCTCGTATAGTTCGTTCCATTGATTGAGAATGGCACTAATAGCCTGTAGCCTAATCATCGGATATTCGATAGCTTAACAATTTTTTTAGGTGCATTATCATTGAAAATACAATAAATTTTTGCATATTCGTTTTGACGTTTACTACTAATAGAGAACTACGTGTGTGTTTCGCATACCATGAAATTGAAATGCCTTGGCAAGACTTTACAAGCCTCTTCGGCTGCGAGATGTAATGAATGACAAATGCACTTAACCACGATAAGATCTAGATTGATATTCCACAATAGCGTTGTCATCGAATGATGTATACGTTTATATTGGCTCCATCAACTCCTAGACCTAAGAGCTTTTCTGTCTTTAGATAATCCCTTTTCAATTGCTACAAGATAGCTTCGACAATAGCGTCAGACGTACCTGCTGTCATTTCAATCAAGCAATAAAAAGTTGTTACAATTTTTTTCTTTGACTGACTGAAATCGAATCATGAGACAGAGGATTTTCGTTACGTCGTAGATTTGTCAATAATCAATAAATAATGTGAATTTCCAAAGATTCTTAAGAGGATACTGGAGTATCTTATTTTACCATTAATTATTAAGGACTCTTTTCTCTTAATTGTGTTTATGGATTGAAAAGTCCTTCTCCACAATTAAAGTATTGACAACAACGCAATTCGCCAGTTACAACTGAATACAAAATACGAAAGAAAATTGTAGACTTACAGTTTTGTTATTGGCTTCTGTAGTCAACACGTCACAATATGTGCTGCATATAAGAGACCCTGCACGTTCGTAAAAAGTAGCTGGCAAATTGTAAAAAACCTGGAAGAACAATCCTAAGCTTTTAGAAACGAGGTAGGAGCTTTAGTATAAGAGAAAAGAGTCGCTGAAAATTTTGTTTGTATATTATGAGTGAAAATGACGTGAAGCCGAGCAATATTTTAGTTCCGCGATATTCCGACAACGGCTCTGTCATGAAAAATGTGTAGCTGAATCATAGAAATGATCTGAATTATCGACCTACTCAGGCCCATACCAAAAAACGTTCTTACATACTCTGGTCAAAGTTTTTTCTTTTGAGATGAAAAAAAATAATAAAATAAATATGATATTAGTTACTTCAATTTTGTTGAAATAATTTCTTTATAAACAAGAAATCTACCATATTATTTACATATGAATACAAATAAAGATAATTATTTTAATTACACTGTTTCTGTCTTTATATACATTTTATTTAGTAAATTATTGATACATATATATAATATATATAATATGTCTAAACTTTTCAAATAACTTTATTTATTGAATTATTTACATATACATACGAGGGCAAGTCAATAAGTTTTTAGAAAATCTGTCAGAGGGCACTCACAGTGTCATGTCACATTACTTTTTACAAATAGCATCTTTCAGCTGATTATTTAAATTTTGAGCGGAATTCATCGCGTGGTTTCATTTCTGTAGACGATTAAAGCGAACAATCTTTGTATTTTTTGCAAAATGGAAAAATACGAGTTTCGTGCAGTGATCAAACATCTACATATAAAAGATTTAACATCGAAAGAAATCAAAGCCGAGTTGGATAATGTTCATAGCACATTTGCACCAGCGTTTGTGACTGTATACAATTGGGTGAATGAATTTAAACGTGGTCGTACATCCACATGTGATACACCTCGTTCGGGACGTTTAATTGAGGCTGAAATCATCGATAAAGTTTTGACCACGATATTGTTTTGACTGATTGACAAGTGAAAGTGCGCGAGCTTGTTGAGACCACAGGCACAGTGATTTTAATTTTGCACGAACAATATTAGGTATGAAAAAGCTATCGGCAAGATGAGTGTTGTTCACTGAGGACCATAAGCGCGATCGTGTGACAATTTCAAAACAATGTTTGGAGATGTTTCAACGTAATCCAGATGAATTTCTGCGTCGATTCATTACTGTGGACAAAACATAGATCCATTACTTCATCTTCGAAACGAAGGAACAGTCAAAACAATGGACTTCACCGAGTGAACCAGCTCCGAAGAAGACGAAGACCCTGAAGTCGGCCGGAAAAATGATAGTCACAGTTTTTTGGGATGCACGCGGTATAATTCATATCGATTCTGTCGAAGCAAACGATCAATGGCGATTATTACGTAGCCTTATTGGACCGTTTCAACAATATTTTAAAGAAAAAACGTCCCCATTTGGCGAAGAAGAAAGTGCTCTTCCATTAAGACAATACACGGATTCACACGTGCCTAGCACGTGCCAAATTCAACGAATTCCGCTACGAATTGCTTTCCAATCCAGCATATTTGCCAGATTTAGCCTCTTGCGACTATTTCCTGTTTCCAAATCTGAAGAAATGGTTCGGAGGAAAGAGATTCAC